GACGACGACGAGGGAGGAGGAGGAAGGACGACCACGGCAACAACGACGACGGAAACGACAACGACGCCAAACAGGACGACGACGACGAACACGAGGAAGGACAGAGGACGACGTAGGCGACGACGACGACGACGCGGGAGGAGGGAGGACGGCGACGTCGACGACGACGACGACGACGCAAGAGCGCGCGCGCACGCTTTTGTTGAAAATCCGTGTTGCGAACCCTTTTGTTTTTTGTAGGTTTTTTGGACACACGATTTTGAAATCCTTCCGAAACCGATGGGTTTCGAAGGTTTACGGCATACGCGCGCGACGACGCGCGCGTCTGCACTTCGTCCCACCTGTTGCAGAGGATTGTGGCGATGGCACACGCGCAAGGGCGTTCGAAAGATTTCGACATGCGCGCGCGCGAAGCCCGTTTAATAGCATTTTGTGAAAATCTTGAAAAACATATGGTTCCTCAAGGTTTCGCAAGAGCTCGCGCCGAAGTTTTTTTAGCAAATCCGTGTTGCGAAACCATGTTTTCTTCTAGGTTTTTGGGAAACTCGATTGCGAAATCCTTTTGGCACCGAAGGTTTTTGAAGGATTTCGGCATGCGCGCGCGACGACGCGCGCGTGCGCACTTCGTGCCATTCTTTGCAAAGGGATTCGCGAAAAGTGCCACGTTAGAACCAAACATGTCACTGCATAGTTTCTTAAACAAAAAATACACCAGGGACCCTCAGGGGGGGGATACCGGTTGGCCTGGGACATTGCGATTCCATATTTAGGATGGGCATGTGGTCAGAATCATATATGATTTTCATACCCGAAAGGGGGAATGATAACGCCGGTGGGGGGGTAGATCCTATTGTGTTTTTAGAAAAGAGAACCTATGTGGGGCATTCTAAGTGGTGCAGTATATGTGGCGCAAGTGATGCTTACAACCGTTTTAACAAACCCCACGCTCTTGCAAACACCCCACACAAACCCGCAACTCAATTTGCAAAACTTATGCGGCGGCGATTGCGATGAGTCCTTGCCGTTGGCTGGTGCATCTTTGCGGCGGCGCTAGCCCGCACATGCTCGCGCGCACAACTGCCAGCTAGTTCGGCGCGACCGACGTGAGCGCGGCGGCGCTGACCGCTGGGCACTTCCCGATGGGCACTTCAATGCGAGTCGGTGAGTTGGGGGCGCGGTATCGTGGCGACGCCGACAACGGTAGACACGACGATGACTGTAGCGGTGATGGTGCAGATGGTGGCGATAACGACGGCAAGGCCAATGACGGCGCCGATGTTGATCACGCCCGCCGATAACGATGACGCGTGATCCTCGCGTCGGCGAAGGAAGTTTTTGAAAGAGTTCGACATGCGCGCGCGGCCGACGCGCGCGAGTCGCCCGCGTGGTATTACTTGAAACGGATCGTGCGCAAGGGCGTTCGAATGAGTTCGACATGCGGCGCGACAAGCCCGTTTGGCAGAACTTGGTTCGAGCATTGATAACCATGGTTTCCTTAAGAATCCGCAAGACCGCGAGCGCAGGTTTATATTTGTTGCAGAAACTGATGTTGCAAAACCATGTGTGTTGATAGATGTTTCTGGGACGCTCGTGTTTGAAATCCTTGCGAAACATACAGTAGTTTGAAGGAGTCCGGCATGCGCGCACGACGACGCGCGCGTGTGCACTTCGTCCCATGTTTTGCCAAGGGTTCTTGCAAATTGATGCGTTTTGCAAAGCTAATGCGCGCGTATAAGTAATTGTTTTTGCGGAGGATGGTGTGGTGGGGCCGAAGCCAGATAGGCAGGGATGACCTGAATTCGCATTAAGAATGGATGATGGGGGTCGAGTCGCACGTACAGTGCGAATCCCCAGGGGGGGATAATCCCGGCCACGCTGGGGCTGATAGATCTGCAGTTTTTAACACCGGATCATGTATGTTGTGCAACGTATGTGGTGCAGCCTATGTTGTGCAATCTACTTTGTGCAATCTGCGATGTGCAAAGGATGCAATGTCATCTACGAGGCGGCGGCGGTGGCGGTGACAGTGGCAACGTAACCCGCCATACTGGCAGACAGGCCCAAACGGCGGGCGGCGACGAGGCGGCGACAGGGCGGCCACACCGGTAACATAGCCGCCAGATTGGCAGACAGGCCAAAACGACGGGCAGCGACGAGGCGGCGACGGCGGCAACATAGCCGCCAGACCAGCAGACAGGCCCAGACGACGGGCGGCGACGGCGGCAACATAGCCGCCAGACCGGCAGACAGGTCCATTTCCGTAGAGGAAAGATAAGAACCCCTAAGTGCAAACACTGCTTGGGGAAAACCTCCTCCTGCCCTACCACCTGCCGTCCGTCTTCTCCTTCTCCTTCTCGTGCTCTTTTTCCTCATACTCCTATGCCTCTTCCCCCATTCTCCACCAAGGTGGGAGGGAGGAGGAGGAGGAGGACCAGTGCAAACCAAAGACGCATCAACGATGTTGCAATCATCCTTCCCTCCAAGCTTCATTTTTCACAGATTCCTGCAATCATTGTTTTTCATTGCGGAATGTGCCCCATTGGAAGACAATCGTCTAAGAGTCCTGAACCGTGCCAAAGCGCCCTTCCTGGAACTTCAACGGCGCGGATCAACAACAGTCGCAGACTTTTGCAACGAGTGCGCGCAACGATAAGGCGAACCACATTTTAAAACCATCCGCCCTCCATCTGTGAACTTGCTGCAAACATTGAAGACAAATGTGCGCAACGCTGAAGCGAGAACCACATTTTGAAAACCACCAGCCCTTTATCCGCTAAGCTCTTGCAAGCTTTTGCGACGACCGTGCGGCGCAATACTGCGGCGATAACCGTTTTTGTTGCTGTTAGTGTTTACACAAAACCTTCGTCAATGAAACTGGTACAAGCTTTGAGTAAGAATGTTTGCGGCGCCAAAGGGACATCCACATCTGGGAAACCACCCGCCCGACATCCTTCGAACTGTTGAGAACTTCTACAACCAATGCGCGCGGCGCTGAGGCAAGAGCTACATTCTGAAAACCACCCGCCCCACATCGGAGCTGCTGCGAACTTTGACGACGAATGTGGGCTGAGCTGGCGCGAAAGCCACATGTTGAAAACCACCCGCCCTCCGTTCGTGGCACTGTTGCAATTCCAAGCTTCGGGATCACACACAATCGGCGAACAAGTCTCGCCTGCGCCCGCCCCACGGACACGTTTGGGGTGCGACAGGGGGGGGAGTTCTTTCTAAGGAGTTAAGATGAAGGAACAGGGATGTAGACGTCGCCTGAGGCCCGAGGAGGAGGAGGAGGAGGAGGAGGGAAAGCGGCAGAAGAAGAAGGGGGACGGAGACATCATCACCATCACCATCAGCACCACCATCAACATCATCATCGACAGCATCCCAATCATCATCATCATCATCATCATCATCATCATCATCATCATCATCATCATCATCATCATCATCATCATCATCATCATCATCATCATCATCACCAACATCATCATCACCATCCAACCAGTGCCATCATTACCGCCACCAACACCATGATACTCATCCTCATCACCACCACCATCATTATCGTCATCACCACCACCACCATCATCATCATCACCACCATCGCCACCACCATCATCATCCTCAGCCTCATCCTCATCCTCATCCTCATCCTCATCCTCCTTCGCCTCCTCCTCCTCGTCCTCATCCTCAATTTCATCCTCATCCTCATCCTCATCCTCATCATCCTCATCCTCATCCTCAGCATCCTCCTCCTCCTCCTCCTCCTCCTCCTCCTCCTCCTCCTCCTCATCATCATCATCATCATCATCATCATCATCATCATCATCCCCCCGATGCCGATACCAAGACTACTGGTTCGCGGTCCTGATCATGCAATCCCCGTCTTCGTCTGCCATCGACTGCGTGACTGCCTCTGCTATCGCCCCACCAGTTGACGCTGGCGTCGCCGATGCTGGGCCGACTGCTGCTGCCAACGTCGCCATTGTTATTTCCATTGTGGTCCCATCGCCTGTCTCGCTCTTGCTGTGCTGAACGATGCCAGCTCGGCTCGGATGAGGTGAGCTTGGGTTATCTTGCTCGTTCCAAAACCTCTGCATTTGAAAAAGCCAAATCTCTCCGGTTACTCATTTGTACTTCCGCCTGCGGAACCTCCCTGGTTTTACATCCGCCGACTTCCGCCATCTTCCGACGATGAAGAGATGTCAGCTCCAAGATGCCTCGAAGGAGAGGACCTTTCTCAATCTTGAGCAGGGACTGGCCGTCCTGTCATTCCTATAGGCCTACCACGAGATATTCTGATAACAAGGGAATGTTGCAAAAGCATTGTTCTTAGAACAGAAGCCCTGTGCACTGAACCAATACTGTCTCCGCCAGAAGTTCTCTAAGATCACTTCGTGCAAACCACAAAAGGTTCTTAGAACACTATTTGGTGCGCCTGTGGGCAAGCTCGAACCCCTCGTTACTCCTTGACAAACGTCCTCTGGGCAGCGCAAGGTATTACAAGCCCGCGTCAGCCCCAATGGCTCCAGGGCGGGCTGGCGCGGGCAGGTGGCTTGCCCGCAGCTGCACACGCACGTGGCTTGTGCGGGCAGGCTCTGGCCAGCAGTGCGGTGCACATGGAAGCATGGAAGCCATAGGCCATGCTTCGACGGCGAGCGAGGGGGGGAATTGACAAGGAGGAGGCCTCCTCAGCAAGCGGCGGAGCTTCCCAGAAGCCCTCCGGCCTTCTGACAAGTTTCCTGTGCTTTCGGGGAAGGCTCAGAAAACTTCTCAAAGGCCAGGGAACTTGCGAGTCTTCTGAGAAGACCCGCCCCTTCTCACTTCCCACCCGGGCGCGCCGCCGAATGTTGAAGCATGCGTAAGTCACCAAAAAACGGGCCATCCCACTCGGCCGCCCACGCATGCGGACAGCTGATGGAAAAGAGGTCTGGCCTGGGGCATCCGGCTTTGCCTGTGCCGTCCCCTCCTGCAGAGGAGCAACCAAGCGGAGCGACGGTGTCCTCGGAGAGCTTGACTGGCGTGAACTCCGCGGGGATCTCAGTCCAGCTGCCGGCGAAAAAGGTGGAGAAAAAGCGGACCAGGTAGTCCTTGACGCGGAAACAGAGATCAGTCAAGGGAGGGGGGCTAGTGCCGGCAAAGAGGGTCAGGAGAGCCACGGGAAAAGAATGATCATGGAAACGCGCCTCGATAGATTTGGACTCCCGAAATCCGTACGGGTAGCATGAGTACGATGCCCAAGAGCACATGCTGTCCAAAACCGACAGCGACCGCTGTTGGGCCTGCAGCCTTCTGTCTCGAATGGACAACGTCCGCGGCGGCGCGGACAGCGAGTCCTGTTCAAAAATGAACAGGAGCTGCTGTTGGGCATGGTACCCCTCCTTCCCGTACCAATTTCGATCGTCCCGGATGGATGGATAAGTAAACTTGTGGCGCTCCGCGCGGATTTCTTGAATACAAATAAACTTTTGGCGCCCCGCGCGGATTTCTTGGATCCGCGCCTGGACCCCCCAGCGGCGCCTCCGGCGCCGCCCCTGGCGCGCTCCGCGCGCCAGGGAAGGGGTTCAGCACGACCAAGAAATCCGCGCGGAGCGCCAAGAGCGCCAAAAGTTTATGTTTGTTTTCTCCTTCTTCGAAAAAGTGAACCAGGATCGCCCACCAAGATATCCGAGGGCTGAGGGATCGACGGCGCGTCGACCGCGATGCAGTCGCTATAGGGGCCCACAGCCCCAGGTGTGGGAGAGGAGATCGCGCACAGAGGGTTCAAAAGACGGCTTCTCACCCTGCGCCGTTTTCGACGGTCCTGTGGCTAAGTGATCGACGAACAACAATACGCATCGTTTATCCGATACCCATCCCAACGGGCGTGGCCTTGGCCCCACTGGCCGATTTACCCCCCTGGATGGGGATACAGGCCGATTCCTTCGGGTTTCGAGGGGTGTGTCCCCAACTGGGGGGGTAATTTGATGGGGGTCTCGAAGGAGGTGGTGATGGGGATGGGGGTCGGTTAAACGATACTGAAGAGACGGGTCTTACGCGAGATGACATAGCGACCTACGCCGCGGGCTTACGCGGGCCGCCAGCGCAACACGCTGCATTGGAGACGGGGGGCGCTCACGCGCGACCTCGCGCGGGCAGCTCGCGCGCCAGTGTCGGCGCGGACGACCCCTCTTCTCTGCGTCGCCCCAGTGACGGCCCCCGGGTGCTGGAAACTGCCAGAACGCCAGCCGACGTGATTGAGCAGAAGATGCCCGGTCGGTGCCCCCTGCCCGCGCCAACACGGGCCTCCCGGGGCCGACGCGTAGCCCGAAAAAACCTCCCGACGCAATTCCTTCACGCCGCGCGAGGGTTTCCTCTCCCATGTTTCGGAGGCGGCCAAGGGGTCTGAACTGGTTGGAACCCCAGAAGAGCTGCTGGGAGGAGGGGATGAAGCCAAATCCGTTCCAAACGGGTCCCCGCAGCCTCCCCCCAGGGTCCATCTGCTGGAAGTTCTCGCCCCAGCTCCGTCTTTGACGGCCCAGGGGCCCGAAAACGGACCCCAGAGGCCGAAGAAAGCAAAACACCTTCACGGACCCAGCGCCTCCCTCCTCCCCGGAACCAGGGCTGGGCCGCCACCTCCGACCCCCAGCCGGCTCCACGTCCCACGGGAACCTCGACCCTCGAACCATCTCGGCCCTTCTCTTTGCATTGGGAGCGGCGTGTGTCAGCCGAACCTGCTTGGCGCAGCTGTGCGGCTCTCGTCGCCAGAGGAGGCATCCAGAAGCCAACTGCAGGGAGAAAACGATTTGGACGCCCGAAATGGGTACCGGAAAAATGGGTACAATGCCCAACAGCAAATGTTGTCCCAAACCGACAGAGGCCGCGGTTGGGCAGGCGGCCTCCTGTCTCGGACGGACACAGGCCGCCGGCGGCGCGGACAGCGAGCCCCCTGCTCAAAATGAGCAAGATCCGCTGTTGGGCATTGCACCCATCCTTTCAGTACCCACTTCGTGCGTGCAGAAGCGAGGCGAGGGTGACCGACGCTGGCCCTCGCCCGGCGGCGGCGGCACCACCGTGGTGTCCTCCAGCATGCTCTGGTGGGTGCCCCCGTCCGCCCCGCGGGGCCTCGGCGCGTCGGCGGCGCGCCCGGGGGGGGGAGAAAGGCGCAGGGGGGCGGCCTTCACAGGCGCAGGGCGGCCGGACAGCAGAGGCCTCGGGGAACAGGGCAGAGCGAGGGAGCTACGGGGCGTGAAAACGACCACAGCCAGTGCTTTTCGTTTGCTGCCGCCTTCCAGCCCGCAGAAACAAAGCAGTGGTTGTGGTCATTTTCGTTGAGCTTGGCACCAGGGAGATGACCACAACCACTGCTTCTTTTTCGGCCAGCTGGAAGGCGGCGCAAACAAGAAGCAGTGGCTGTGGTCATTTTCCAGTCCAGCAGGGGCCGAGCGGTCATTCACTGTGCCTGAATGCATGGCCGAGGCGGGGTTCCGCGGTGCGGATTGCTGTTGCTCTGCGTCGCCTTGCTGGTATGATCGCCCCACCCCCGACCCAACCGCGACCCCCCCCCCCCCCCCCCCCCCCGCGACCCCCCCCGCCCCGCGACCCACCCCGCGCCCGCTCCCGCACTCTTGTCCGTAAGCGCGGGGTGCTATGGAATGGCATCATCATGATAGCCAGCGCGGACCCCAAACACTGTGCTTCTAGCAGTACAGTCGGGGCGTTGACCTAAGGAACCCTAAATAAGGAACGAGGGCCCTTTCTCCCATACGTTCAATCTCGATTTCCCATGGGAAACATAAGGACAACCTGAGGCAAGCTGCGAAACACTTAGAACACGGAGCCCCTCCCCAACGAAAAAGGTTCCTTCTTCAGGGCCCCGACTGTATCCTTCGAGCAACCCATGTGGTGCAGTCTGGTTTTGGTGTGATCTATGTGGTCAGCCCTGTTTGGGGAATCCACTTTCGGAGGTCCGCGCGGACTTCTCGGATCGGCGCTGGGGCCCACATGGCCGCGCCTCGGCCGCCGCCGCTGGCGCGATCCGCACGCCAAGGAGCGGAATCTGGCGCCGATCCAAAACATCCGCAAGGCGCCCAAAAGTTCATGCTTATGTTATGACCCGTCGGTCGGCAGAAGCAGGTGGAAACATGCAACATGCAGTAGGACTGCGGATCAAGGATCCAGTGGATTGGGTCCGGGCCCGCCTACAGAAGAGCAACAGGCAGCAACCACGGACCGCTTCTTGAAGTGGCAAGGCGCTTGAGGTAGACTGGGATCCGGGGGTCCAAACATTAGAAGCAGAAACCACATAAGCATAAACTTTTGGCGCTCCGCGCGGATTTCTTGAGTTCGCGCTGGATCCCCCTCCCTGGCGCGCGGAACGCGCCACGGGCGGCGCTGGAGGCGCCGCAGGGGGGGCCAGGCGCGGATCTAAGACATCCGCGCGGAGCGCCAAAAGTTTATGTTTATGTGGTTTTCCTTCTTTGCAGGACACATACTTCCAACGACCGACCTGTACTTGTTCCTCGAAGGCCTCCTCCGAGGGCAGAGGCAGCATTTCAGCAGGCCTCCGGGGGGCTTCCGAGAAGCCCCCCGCCGCCCTCCGTGAAGGCCTGCCTCCCCCCCCCCCCCAGACATCCGACAATGTGACTCTCGTGCAGTGCGCGGCCCCAGGAAGTCTCGACTGCTTCCCCGAGGCCGGCTCTTCCTGTCCAGTCGGGGGGAACATAAGGGGGGATAGCCAAGGGTAGGATAGAAGATCAGCTCACGTAGCTGATTTTTCCAGCACCGCCCGGCTCCGGGAGGCGCCCATGCATCGAGAAGTGGGCCCGGCGGCGGGGCCGAAACCAGCTGCATGCAGCAGATTTCGTACCCCCCCTTTCCTGTCCCCCCCTTTCGGTCGGCCCTGCCCAAGAAATCCGCGCGGAGCGCCAAAAGTTTGCACGTCGTTCATTTCTGATCGTGCTCCCTTCTGACTGTGCTCGTTTCTACTCGTTCCTGGCCCCCTGGTGGCCAGGAAGAGGCCCAGGACAGAAGAATCAGAAACGAGAGGAGTTTGCCCCCCCCCCGAAGAAAATCCAAGTGACCACGAAAAAACACATCCCCAACCCCAAAATCGCGGATTCGCCGAGGATTCGAAGACCGGCCAAAGATTTCGGGGTATGTTTTGCGCTCGTCGTCGTCACCCTGGTAAAACCCTACCCCAAAATCTCCCTCCCCGAAGTCTCGAGGTGTCTGCGCTTTGTCTTGGCCCCCGCGTTTTTGGGATTGGGCGTCTGTTTTGAGTCAGTGACCAAGAGCTTCCGAAGAAGCAGACATGGACCGTGTGTGTCTGCTCACGTGCGTCGGCCCTGCCCGGGCTCCGCTCGCGGTGGCCCCCGGGGCCCGGCAGCGGCCCGCGACACGCGGAGGAGGAGGAGGAGTCCGCCTGCT